TATATATATATATATATTAATATAATATATAATATTATATATAATGTCAGCAATATTATATTAAATCGCAAATCGGTGCGCTTCCTCCTGTGCGCGTGCACCTTGATGTACCGTTACATAAAATTTGCAGCGAGACTTCCTGCCTCTCAGTGGTCCAATACAACGAGAGACGTGACGTCATTTCGGGGATATGCCTCTGCAATTACCCCAATATACCGTCCGTGTCGTCGGACGATTGGTTGACCTGGTTAAAAACAATTTACGGGTAACCTTCTGTTTGCGTCGATCGTAGTAAAGTTAATATGACTTTACGATATGTTGTTACGATACGAGTCGGTGTCTTATATATGTTAGGCGAGTTTATAAGATTAGCACCTTTCAAAAAGGATTCCCACTGCCACGGAACGGAACACAATGTTCGTACACTTACTCGTATGGGATGAGCTCTACTCGAACGAGTTTCTTGGGGAGCTATTGGCTGCGGTGTTCGACAGCTCTACTGATTGCCAATACGTGGTTCTCGTAATTCCACCCCGAGTTGAACCAGGTGATCGCTTTTTTTATCAAGTCACCCATCGATTCTTTAAACTTTTTACAACGGAAGAAAGATGTTGCTAGATCTGATCTCTTTAGAGCTCATCTTTCAGTTCAGTCTCAACGGTTCATCTTTCTTCCTTTTCTCCTCACGTTGAAGAGAAAAAGAGAAAAGATGAACCGTGCAAGAAGTTCAGCTAAAAAGAATAAGCCTCATGTCTTGACTTGTGTTCTCTAGTGCATTTGAGCGTGTTCGAGCGAGAGATGACTAAAGTCTTGGCCAAAACTGCCGGGCGAGATGTCGCGCTGCAATTTCTCTATCTGACTAATGAATATCGATTACGTCCAAAGTTGAAAATACGAAAAGTCGTGTGAGTCGATTTCATTTGCGATTGATATTTTCTGAAATTTCTTTCTAAGCATCTATACAACTCGTATATATACTCGATGATATATATATATATAGAGAGGAGGATCACGATGATGTGATTGCGATTATGGACGATAAGGAACATGCGCATCTAAAGGAACTTTATGGAGAGTATTGGATTAGTGAGATAGTTCGTCATCCGAGCAGTCGTCAATTGATCATCGGAGAGAATACCAACGGCTCGGCATTGGGTGTTATGTGTCTCAATACTACGATCGACATCGATCTGCTTAACGAGAATTTTGAATTAATGCCGTACAATGGTTTAAAAAAATCGCGGGAAAATGATCGTACTGTTGAACATAATGAGACGATGCAATCTCAATTCGTTCACCATGTTTTCCCGACGCCGGACGATGAAATAAATGCCTTCGTTTTGGAGATATTTGCGACGCGCGGTGAAATGAGGCCTCACTGGTCCCACGATTTCTTGGAGGCTGCTTTCGATTGCTTCCCGCATTTAGAGTACTGCGCGACTCTTCTTCCTTTCTCACATCCGTGCCATCAATTCCTTCAACATTTTGTGGTGAATTATTGTAAATTGACTAATGAGATATTACTCGAGTATACAGAGTGTCCCGATTTTAAGTGGCCAAACTTCGGGAGCGTCTAGGAAATCGACAAATTAAGAAAAGAAATCCTTTAGGGATATGCTCGTTTTTGCTTCGCTTTAAAGAAAATTGCAAAAATTGATAAAATGTCGTAATTTTTGGAATGTTATTGTTTACAAAGTGAAATGTTATGGTTTTTGTATACAGCTTGAGCGACAATATGCTTTAGATGCAATGCGAGCTAGAGTATGCGCGCCGATTTCCAGACAGAAGAGTGCCGGAGTTTTAGGAGCTTTCCAGCAAGAGACACAAATTGATACAAGAGTCATCCTGTCCTTGTTCGATAATTAGTAAGAAACAAAGACAGAATGACTCTCGTGTTGATTTGTGCCTCTGCTGGAAAGCTCCCTACATTGATCAGATCAATGTTTGGCTATACACGAACAAGATGCAATTATATGTGCAATTGCTGCAAGAGGTCAACATTTTGAACAATCTGCATTAAGCAAGTGACAAAACAAAGTGAATAAATAAGTGTGAATAAATGAGTAATAAATAAATACAAAAAATGAAAATTACGTTTTGCGATTTTATCCAAAACGAAGCAAAAACGATATTTCTAAAGGACTTTTTTTCTTTAGTTTATCGATCTCTTCTTACACATACACGTACCCGAAGTTTGGCTATTTAAATTCGGGACACCCGATATAAGAAAAAAGGAATTTTAGGAGCACTTCTCTCTTTAATCTCATAATTAATAACGAGAAAAATAAAAAATGAAAATGCAGCGCGTACCGTTGAGGTGTAATAGAGATTTCCCTATGACGCTGTACATTCTGCACCGAGCGGTTGTTTGCGAGGAGATGACGTGCCGTCGTGCCCGAACACAAGATCGTGAAGCTATAGAGAGACTCTTGTTCACTACATCGACAAAATACGAGGTCTTGGCTGATTTTGATTTCGCCATGGATCCTTTACAGGCTGTACAGCGTGATTGTTTCGTCTTTGAAAGTAACGATACGATGCTGGGGCTCGCTATATTGTGGTTATTACGTATATTTCCTTGTATTTCTTATATCGTGAATGATATTCAAATATCCAAGTTTTCTTTACTTTACGTTGTAGCGCCGAGAGGGAGGTAAATTTCGTCACGAAACATTACCATATAGGGGATTACGTGTCTGTGCAGAGTATTCCTCAAAATGATTACGGACGTCTCTTGCATTTTGTTCTTATGCCAATTTTTTCCGTTCACCATCGCTTCTTCTTCCGCGAGATCGCACGTTTAAGCAAGTTAACGGTAATCTTTTATCGGCTTCATCACAAAGATGAGACTGTATTGGTAAGCTGCAACAATGCACAATAACAATAGTTGTATTTCTAGTAAGTAAGAACATCGAATTTTCATCTCAACCCACAAAATTATATATTATATAAAAAAAATCATTTTGTGCATTTTAAAGAACTATATACGTCGTATATAAATTCAAACAGAATCATGCAAGCACTCACGATCCAGCTAAACCGTTTAAGGCATTGATTTCTATAGATTGTGCTTCTCACATATACGATCCTATAAGGTGCGTCTGGGGAGACGCTATTAGCCCTATTTATATCATTCTATCCTTGTTTTACGTAATAAACAATGGAGATAGAATGACGCAAATAGCTAATAGCGTCTCCCCGAAACGCACCTGTAATGTTATACATATATTATATAATCATATATTATATATTTCAAATGAAAGCTAAAACTGTTTAATCGGTAGGAAAATTATTAGAGTTTAACTACCATCGTGTACATTACTCGTATGACGCAGATATATCCTTTGGTATCCTGTTTGAACGATATGATTCCGGTTAATCCTCGTAGACAAGCTGAATATGAATTTCCGATTATTCAGGAAAACTTCAATAGCTCTGAAAATAATACAAAATGTGAAAGAAATGATGTCGCGAACGATGAATTTTCTCTATTTATGACGTCACCGAGACTAGCCATGATGCCACGTACAATTATCGATACGAGGATCGTTGTCGTTGGAGCATCGGACTGCGGAATTGCTTTCGCGGAGTATCTGGCTTTACGGTAAAATGTTTTCAACTATAACACCTGAAGTATGTTGCGTGTTGATGAAACTTACCAAATATTAGGTGTAGTAAAAAGTCATCGCGTATTTTTTAGCTCAAAGTTGTATATACAATATCTTCGTCAATAATGAATGAAATTCAAATTTTAAAAAAGGGTTTTAAAGCTTGAAATCTCTACTTTTAAAAGCTTATCACATTTTTTAAGTTTATATGAGTTTGATAATTTTTACATACCAAAAACTACGAGCTGAAAAAGACGAAAAATTTTCTTCTCACTTTGTGGATTTGTAACGTGTCCAAAACGAATTTGAGAAAATTTTCGATTACCTATCGTGAAAGCTTGATACTTTCCCTACAAAATCGTTTTTTTTAAATATTCCTACGACTTTTGATTACTGAGTTATCGCGGATTAAATAAAAGAATTATTTTGACTTTAATTGCTCATAACTCCATTAAAAATTGTCGTATCGTATAATTTAAAAAAGAGATTTTTAAAGCTGAAACTTTACTCTATCAAGATATATTTATATTGTTGGTAAGAAAGTAATTGCGGTTTTTACTGATAGATGTCTTTTAAAAATACGCGATGACTTTTTACTACACCTAATATATTATAACTTACCAGATATATTTCTTCATATGGTAATATAACGTTTCAAAAATATCCAAGGACATAATATATACGTTTTTTTCTCCTAATTGTTCTCAATATTCAATTCTGTAGATTAACGCAGCGTTATAGGCAATTGACAAATCTTACGTTAATATCACCACATGGTATACCATTTGATAACGAATTTGATAACAAATCGAGTCGTTCGGACTGTTGCGAGTACTTGCTTCCATTCAGAGGAAGATTTCACTCGGGATATCGTCGCTATGTAGTCGCACGGACATGGCTTAACATCATCTACGGAACTATGGTAGCGATCAACAGGTAGTCTTTCGTATGTTGATAGACATACGGCATCTATCCATCAACAATTTTAATAATTCGAATTAATCCAGCAATGTCGACGAGATGACAATCGATTCGAATTTTCTTTAGAAGCGAGAAATATGTGACTGTGACGAATCAAGAAAATTTCCCGTACGATTATTTGGTTTTAACGTGTGGCTTACAGTATCAGAACTCGACGTTATGGGAGAAAAGAAAAATGGAAAAGCAAGAGTAAAGATTGTTTATAATATATTATAGCATATGTATTATACACATAATGCAGTCCGTAATATAAATCACTCTGAACGCACCTCATTGCCCGACGCAAGAGAGTAGTTGTACGTTACACGTTACGTTTATTTTTCAAGAAGAAACGAGGTACAAGACCAAACGCCATGGAATTGTCTGACCGTAAACAACGATAAGGAAGCTTCCACTTGCCTCAGAAAGATTCGATGGTTAACACAGGATTTTAAAGAAAGGAGTAGGTGCAGCGATTAGTAAAATTGTTACTTTATGTTGTTTCAATATTTAACACTCTACAGAAGCGATATTTCTTTACGGACGTAATATCGATTGCTACTGTACACTTGGTGGTCTAATCAAGCTCGGAGTAAAGCCTTCGTGGATCACGTTGATCGAGCCGAGCTCTTTCAAGTCCGACAAAACACGCGACCGAGCTTTCTTTCACGATTACGAAGTATATCACGATAAAATAATTCGTACTATTACGATAAAAGAGTTATTACAGTAATATCGTGTGTTTACTTATCTAAGGTGAACAAAGTTGTGACAAATGCCATTTTACAAAGTGGAGTTAAAGTTTTTTCCGAATGGACCGTGATCAATTGGGAAACTCTGATGGAAAACGATGACGCAAAGCTCATGATCAAGAGTATTACGATTGAAAAAGAGGAAAAAAAGAAAAAGTTGACTTGCGACGTTCTTTTCAATTTCTATGAGAAAACGATCGATTCAAACGCATTTTTAGGTAAAGGACACGCGAGAATACATCATCCTACTAACTTCTAATTCATTTTCAATTACATTTAAAATTGCGTTTGACGGGTATCGAAAATTCAATCTCTCACATATAGATCGGTATTCATAGTCGGTTCATATTTTAATACCGTATTAAGTCTCAAGTAATGTCTTAAGATGCTAATACGGCACTCTGACTCTTGGCTTATGACATCTTAAGACTGTACTTAAGCAACCTCAAATATAAGAATCGACTATTAATACCAGCCATAATTTGTGCCGTTTCAGCGTTTTGTCGAGCTGGTCTCATTTTCGATGGTTCAATAGTAATAGACTCGGAATGTCGCACCAACGATCCGTTTATTTTCGCCGCTGGTACCGTGACGAAATATTCCCGAAAATTTTACGCTGATATCTGGCAGCACAAATATTACAATAGCATGGAAGTTGGAGAGAGAGTTAGTAGAAAAGGGATTTTTTTTTTGTTTTAAGGAGACGTATAGTACCCTCTTTTCAATCAACTCATCTTTTCCAAAATTAAACTAGTTATCTTTTTATTATCAAACTTATAATACACTTGTATTTCTTTTCATTCCCCGCCGTGCATCGGAAGCTCGCTCAAATTTTATGGAATGCGATTGAGTGGGAAGTGCAAGTTCCCGAGCAAATGTCAAAAAAGAAAGAGAAGATCATGCATTTGACACCACCGACATTCCGTGCACCCATCGTAACCGCTTGCATTTTGCCAGGTGATTATCATTACTTGCATGTATGTAAACCCGGGAAAGCAACTTCGGATAACACGACGAAGATCAACCACAATCATTACGTGAGTTAACAGTCAAATCGGTTTTTGCATCGAAATGCAAATAATCGAAATAAAAATTATTTAAAGAGGTTCTTTGTTATAGTTTTCTCTCGTTCGTTCTCCTTCAATCTGTGCAAGACGTAAGTCGTTGCATTAACGTTGATTTTTTTTTTTTTTTTCATGCAGGGAAATGTATTTGTATCCGGTTCTTGCGAATCTGAAATTGGATACTTTCGCATCCGATTGAATATGTACGACACTGTGGAAAGTGTAACCTGCGTAAGCAGAAAGGTAGTTCTGGAACTAATTAGACAAACAATACTCAACAACTGCTCTAGAAAAATTTTATGTGTCACGATATTTATCTTGCGATTCGGAAACAGACGCCACTTCGTCTCAACGCAATGACAATTGTGTTTTTTTTTTTTTCAGACATTTCGAGTGCAGGATATGATTGTTTTATATGGGAAACACGAGAGCATGTTAAACGAATTGAAATTCCGTTTTCGAGTAAGCGCCTGACTGACGATACAGTATTGAAATATTAAAAAGAAAATCTCGATGATCATACATATTTCAGGATTTATCACTGAATACTCTTGCGCGTGTAAATGCCTTTTTAAAATAATTTTTCCTCAGAATTCAGAAATCTCAGATTTCTACGCGTATTTCCGCGAACCTTGGGCCGCGATGATTCTCCATGATAGATTCGATTGTCTGCGCGTCGAAAATCGGGCTACTTTGCTGTCGCGAACGGTAAGACGGTCGCTTGCATCTCAATATCGTATAAGCACATCGATATTTATTACAAGCATATTTTCTCAACATACAGGACACTCATGACAATTCTTTGGTCGACGATTGCATTCACACGTTAATCGAATCAGAGTGGAAAACGGTGAGTAATTTTATTGATGAGTTTATGAAGAACGCAATTTATCGCAAAATGTATCCTTTCGAAAGTAAGGACGAAACATTGATTAGTGATAACGACGTGAATGAAAAATGAATGAACTCGAAGTTCTTTGCGCAGATATATGAAAAGGATCGAAATGACATCGAATCTAAATACGCTGGCTCGGTTTATCATCAAGAATTAGAGAGTAATCTCATGAATTTTCTCGAGTTTTACGAGAATGAACTACCTATGTATTGTACTTCGCGTAAACAACGCCAACTGTATATGGATATTGAAGAAAGTCCGTTATATTTTGACCAATAAAACTTTTTGCAAATTCTCTTGATGAAGGGACACTTGGAAAAAGAGGGACACTCAGAAAGAATTAACGTTTAATTATTTAATTATTCCCCCCCCCTCCTCCCTCTCTCTCTTTCTTTCTTTAGCACGTCTGAAAATGGTGACGAAGAAATAACAAGTATGCCTTAGGTTTGTTGTACAATTTAAAACTTTAAAACTGCTCATAGCGAGAAGTTTTAAGTTAATGCTAGCTATAAAATGAGTGCCCGGGAAAAAATGTTATATAAATAGACATATTTTATATATAATTATTATAATTGTATATAAAATATTTTTTATATAATTATATATGATTTTATATAATTATAGGTATATGAAAATTACAATTGAAGAAAAGGGTCTACTTAGCCTTAGCATCCTTGAGATTTCATTTTCCATGATCATCATGACATCATTTTTTGTGTATACGAAATGAAGTTGCAAATATCAAAACTTTTTATTGCCATCTTGTAGTCTTATAATCATTCTATAAAACGCGAATAATCATTTGACCAAAAATCGTTAATTTTATTGTTGGAAACTGCAATTGAAAAAAAAGACGCCCACGTAGCCCCGATCTTCCCTATATGAAACATTTTTTTCCCGGGTAGATATAAAAATTTTTCCTTATAATTAGCGATAAAGTAAAGCAAATTTTCCGATCTCATTGGGCTACTACACACATGCTACGGAGATTGCATGTGAATCCAAACGATCGTATCACAGCAAATATTTCTGAATTAGAATCAAAGCCGCGCATTCAATATATATAGTCGTGCTCGATAAACGACTTCGTCGTCGTTGATCTATTTTTGGTACGCAATTCTATTCGTAGGTCAAGTTTAACGTTTCACCAAATCGTTTCATAACGGTGCAACGGCTCAATGCAATTCGCAATGTCGCATTGCCTGACATTTGAGTTACAGTTATGAGGTACATATTTGGAAAAGAATCGCGAATCATGACAGAATTCTTTAGATGGTCTCAAAAGCTGACAGCATTTTAAATTCATTTTTGTATTTGCATTTTGTATTTCTGTATTTTCTTCTATCGAGTAAATTTTCATGCTGCATTACGAAATATCGAAGGAACGCGCGGATAAGATAAGTATAACTATAAAAGGCTTTCGATAACGTTCAAGTTTTTTTCTATCTCGTATATCTAGCGCAGAATTTTTATTTCATAAAAGAAAATATCAGTTCGTGACGTTCTATCACATTCGTTTACCGCTCTTTACACATTTAGTATAGCATGCCAATTTTTTTTCTTTCCCTTTTCCTCTCCTCCCGAATCTTTTCCTTGGACCCACGCACGTGCCGCGGTCTGTTTATTGCGGATTGCATTAGTCTTTTTGGTTTATTTCGCAAATGTGTTGCCGCGTTTTTGAAACTGGTCCAAATCGAAATCTCGACGTTAGGTCACGGTCGTGTTATTTTTAACGCTGGCACGCCTATCCTGCGATATGATCGACTAACTGCTTAAACATTTTTTTTATCACGAAGCAAAATTTTTCTCAATATTGCAAATAAAGATTTGTACGATAGCTATCTGTACAAGCTTGTATGTGTGTACAAGATGTGTACATAACTATAGCGTCTTTATGAAAAAAACTTAACACATGCACTTGATTAGAGTACAGCTTTCACAAATATGGCTCTGGCATAACAAGGAGTCATTATATAAGAGAAGCAGATCTGTGTGCGTGTAAGTGCATTTTATGACAGAGCAGAACATGTATTCGTCGCTCTAAATGGCGATATAGAAAATCCATTCGCGGCACGTCATAATGTGAATCATTTTCTTTTATCACTATAATTACTTGTTGTTCCGTTTCATCTGGAACAACCAGAGGAACCTTTTTATTAGTAGACAGTATTATCACGCAGCTTAGAATTGCACGTCCGTGTTAAATGAAAGAAATAAAAGTTACATTTAGAGAATTGAAATTATAGACTTTTTACAACCTAAGTTTATAAATGTTGCTTTAATTTAAATATTTCTAAAAAGTATCTGTCGTATTTTATTTATAATGCGCACATAACGCATTTTTATTTTCTTTCTTATTGAAATGCAAACACTCATATTTTTATTTTATTTACAATTATTTATAATAATTATAAATAATAATTCCGCCTACTGCGGAATTATTTTTAAAAAAGAAGAAAAAACAGTTTAACGAGTGTTAAAATTTCAATCTACCAAAATTGTCAATATTATATATATATATATATATATATATTAAGTCGCATATTCTTGCATTATATCGTATTACATTGCATCTCATTTCTTCATTAGTTGACCTTCTCGATCATTCAGTCGGAATACATTTTCTTTTTATAAAGGAAACATGCTGAAGTCTTACCCCGCGCGATATCCTACTAGCGGAGCTAGAACTGGTACTCGAGTGATTCGTTTGACGGTGGATCAGGAAGTAGTTCTTCAAGAGCAGTTTAACAGATGGCCAAGAGCACCTCATACTGCGGACGTTGTACTTCTCGCAGCTGAAACAGGTCTTTCCGAGGCGGACGTTGAAGTAAGTAAACACATATCAATTTACATACTATAATTATATTAGAAATAAGTGTGAGATATTTGAATAAAACGAATTAGGCGAGCAAGGTACATCGATAAAGATACGTTGCAACCCTTGACTTTTGTTCTAGGGATGGTACGCTATCAGATTGGCTCAATGGCGGAAAGAACAGGGTCTCGGCGGGAATCTGGGCATACATTGATGATCGTACGAGAGCTATGTGCACTAAACTCTCGTCTCACTTTTGTACCTGAAACTCTTATACGTATATGGGCAGATGTAATGGATCGATAGCAAATTATGATAGCAATGTACTTCTTTCCTTTAAACTCGCTGATCTTATGTTCGTATTCATAGTCAGATCTTATATAAAGGCTTCCTTAAATTTATCTTTAGACGCTTTAGGTGTCGATATATTGCATCAACCGCCATGTGTTTTTGCAAAATTCATGAGACACGTCCGATTAGTTGTTGTCATATCCGGAAGAAGAAACTGTTTTAAATTTATAACTGATTTTTAATAATGTTGATAATCAATTTAAAACAATCGATCACATCTATTTTATAGCTTAGTATAGTAAAGCTAGTTTATTTGTTCAGACATCCACATTTCGACTAAGTAGTATTATAGTAATAAAGGTATGCGCTAAGTCTGCACTTTAGCTAGATATCATAAAACATGTATCATTCCTTCTCTGGCACATCATACATTGGTATTACTAAGTATACGTTTACTTTCTTTTTAAATCATGCGAAACAATGCAGAAACAAACTCGATATCGAATTCTAAAGTTTGATATAGTATGCTTAGACTGTAGTAAAAGTAAAAAAAAAAAATTTAAAGAAAAGAGAAAGAAAAGATTAAATTACGTGAATATTATAGAATTTATCTAAAGAGATATATTTAAGGAAACCTTAAATATAAGACCTGACTATAAATACAGGTATTAGTCTAAATTTATTGTATTCATAAAAGGTTTGTTATTTATTGTAAATGTGTAACAGAAAAAAATGCGTTTGCGTAGAAAATAAATTACTAATTGTACGAACGCGCATAACATATTTATACATAATATATTCGAAACGTTGAAAATAATTGCAAATTTTCAACATTTTCTAAGCAAAGAAAAATTACTATAAATGATCATAAGATTATAAAAATGCTTTTCTTAACTAACATATATTCTTAACATGTAATTATTAAATTTGATGAAATAACAATTATACTCGAAAATAATTAAACAAGTCAATTTAATTGAAATATTAAATCCAATTACTTACTTATACTTACACATCCACGCTGTAATTATGAAATAAGTAAACGGGTGGGAAAAATGAAGCTGTGTGTATGTGTGAGAGAAAAGGAGAGGGAGGGTGGAGAAGAAATTTTTAAAATTTTGAAAGTAAAACGCGGGTAGTATCGTTTTTATATTAAAGGAAATTGGAGGTTTATTATACCAATGGCCAGTCTATGTACAGAAATGTTTTATTCTTAAATTATGCACAAATTGCAATCAATACAAATGTATCTGAAACAAGCAAGTTGGGGGATATCTCAGTTTTTTTGGCTGTCATAAGAATATTCAGATAAAATGACAGCTGTTTTGTTAGGTGTCGATATATTGCATCAACCGCCATGTGTTTTTGCAAAATTCATGAGACACGTCCGATTAGTTGTTGTCATATCCGGAAGAAGAAACAACTGTTTTAAATTGATAACTGATTTTTAATAATGTTGATAATCAATTTAAAACAATTGATCATATCTATTTTATAGCTTAGTATAGTAAAGCTAGTTTATTTGTTCAGACATCCACATTTCGACTAAGTAGTATTATAGTAATAAAGGTATGCGCTAAGTCTGCACTTTAGCTAGATATCATAAAACATGTATCATTCCTTCTCTGGCACATCATACATTGGTATTACTAAGTATACGTTTACTTTCTTTTTAAATCATGCGAAACAATGCAGAAACAAACTCGATATCGAATTCTAAAGTTTGATATAGTATGCTTAGACTGTAGTAAAAGTAAAAAAAAAAATTAAAAGAAAAGAAAAAAGAGAGAAAAGAGAAAGAAAAGACTAAATTACGTGAAAAGTGTATTCGGAAATAAAAACCGACTCCTTGTGCACATCTGATCGTGTTAGATTCGAATAAGTCATTTTTTTTTTGCAATCATGATACTATTAATCAACACTCAGCTTTGAAACGTAAAAATCTAGTGTTGTTAAATAACTCTACTAATAATCGTAAATCAAAAACTCAATTTCCTCAAGTAAATAGAAAGGAACATCATTGGGAACACCTTTGAACCAGAATTTCTTAGAGCTGCCGCCTACCATTGTTATAATTAACAACGGAAATCCATACACATTTTCCTGGTATCGCGTCGAGTTGCATCTTAGTTATGTCGCATTCGTTTCAGTTTTCATAATTATCTCCGATATATAGCGTATCAGAATAACGAGGTTACGTCGATATAAAGTAATAAAGTATCAAAGCAACTAGATATATCTTTATGTTAATGCGGAACATTCATGAAAAGTACGTAGAATAATTTGCTGCCATTTAATTTGGTTATTATAAGCTAAACTAAACAAATTCGATATCATGGAATGATATCGGGAGCACACTGCAAATATTGTATTATATGTAAGTACTGAGCGACATATCTAGATGAAAACTTATCCAGAGCGATAATTGACGTACGAGCCGCGATTATCCAGCCTAATATTGGATCGTTAAACGTTAACGAGTGACCAAGGTGTACCGTACGGTACATCCGAAGCACTGCCACATAAGTTAGGAGCTTGGTATAAAAATGAGGCACAGTTTCACAATCAGGGAATCCTTCTTACCAAATGCTATCCTCTATCTCCCAATGAATGTATCCGTATATCAAACATGACAGTGTAATTACCATCATTAAACTAAACCATGCATGGATATTAATATGTGTCCTTAAATGTGTTTAAGGAGAATGACGATTTCTTAAACAACTGTCGTATTCTTATCGGTAGCAAACAGTCTTAACAACGAGCGTAGACTAATCATGTCGCGTTCCATAATCGTGTAGTCCTTGCGTCGGTATGCGTCATGTTACGTGCTGGGAGTTAATAGCTCTCATCAGGTGTAACGTAGCAACGTTAGTAGCAATTGGCGACAACGCAACGGTTGCTTAGCCACTGGTACCGTTAACCAGAGCTTCTTTAGGCTTATTGCTCTGCTGCATACGAGGAGGACGAGACCGATGTTCTCTTTGGCCTTTAGGTCCTTGCGAACTGTTGTTAGACATGGATACGTCGTTCGCGGGTGTTCCTTCCTTGCTATTCATTGTTGATTGGTCGCACGGGCCGGCATTACTGCCTAAACAAATTTATAGATTAATTCTGAATGTTTTCGTATGTACAAGTATGCGCGTCAGCCTATTGATCGAGCATTGGAAAATGGATATAAGCTACTTCTTTGTACAACCGATCGTCCTAAAGAAATGCTCACGCGAGCTTGATACTAGATAGGCCTACCTGTCTGACTAGCACTCATTGGCGTTGAGCTTCGTTGCCGCGAACGCCGAAGTCGTCTTCGTCTTATTCCTTTAGCTCCTCCCTCCACACTCGATACTGACTCTATACATACACAAACCATTGTGACCATCTGCCTCGAACTCGCAATTAACATTTAAAGATAAACTTAATCATAGATAGCGAAAGCTGCACTGCATACGTTAGTAGCATGCAATAGAATATATATTTACATCGATTTGATGATAACATTAGTGTTAGATGGTCACAAGAGTTTGCTCCGCATTTCATGCCAATCTTAAAGCATTCTGATACGCGTCACACGTTGCTTGTCTTTAGGACGAAACGGTTAGAATTGTCATCAACATGTATGCGTCTATTCTTTATTCGCTTGCTTTTTCTCTCGTCACACATACGCACGCACGCACGCGCGCGCGCACGCACGCACGTTACCAATAAGTATTACCTCTATCAATGCTTGAAACGTCTTGGCTGTCTAAAACAGTGTCTTCGTCATCGGTAGTACGACGACGTTCGTCTCTACGATCTCTACGTTGGGTTGGAGGACGACCTTGTCTACCACTCATGTATCCTGAATTACCGGCTCCCTGATGACCACCTCTTGGCGGTAAATCCCGAACACGATCCTCACTGCCATCCAAAGTATCTCTACGTAATCCTGAAGAACGCCCGGTTAATTGTCAGATTTCTCGTCCATATAGACAATTATAATATTTCACTTGCGTTTCATATCGCCTATTGATTAATTTGTTAAATATGCCTTACACAAAAAAGTCACAATCAAATCAAAACAAACAACACATCATAATTCTCTCATAAAATCTTTACAAAATGTATTACAATATTACATTACAAATTATTAAGTTTATATTGTAATATTTTGGTAATTAAAACTCATGATGCTGTCTGTGTTATAAAATTACCGGCATTGTGTCTGGTAGGGGCTCTACCCCGAGATCCGCGCCCTCGAGACTGACCACCGCGACCTCCACGACCGCTGATACCCTCTTCAGGTCCTGCAACCATTCCTCGTCTTGTGGGAGGAAAGCTGGGCATCGGTCCTGTAGTCGATCCGTGCATGCTTCGTAGTTGTTGATCAATTTCTAACTTTTCTTGTCGCAGTTGTTCTACTTCCTACATAAATTATACAAGGTGATCAAATCCCATGATCAAACTCGCAATTTATTTTACGACTCCTTTCTGTGATATCAGTTTTATACATTTCGGAAAGGATCAGTGCATTGATATACAGTTACCTTTAAATGTGCCAAATGATATTCCAACAGAACTTTGGCATTGGCGATGCTTTCGACAGTGCCAACAAAGACAAAGGGCACCTGACCCTCCTCTCGTGGAATCGTTGGTTGAGGTTCGTTGTCTCCTTCTATTTTTACTCTTACCTGCAATACGTAGTTATTAAAATTGCGCTATTAACGCATTTAATGATACGGATTATTAGTATGAGACGCTTAAAATCGTATTTCATATCCATACCATCAGTTTTCAGTCACTGGCGTTTGTCATTTCCATCAATAGACTTGTCGATCAGTCTGCGAAAATTTGCTTAAATATTCTTTACACCCTTTATACTCCCAAAAGTATTTGTTTTTTGTAAAAAAAAAAAAGTAATTTCTCGATATTTTTACCTTTTCTCAAACATCATCTTTTAGGTAATATGTATCTTCTCACAATCACTATATATCATATCATATCAAACACGTGGCAATTATATCGTATATTTATAATCACAGTTTTTTTTCCTTTATATATAATTGTAAATAAATTTAGAGATTTTTATTATTTCATTTTCTTTTCTTAAATAACAATAATTTCAGCCTATTTATACATCATTAAAAAAATAATCTTTTGTTCTACAATTTAATAGTGTTACAATATATCTTGTACATGAAAAACTAATTAATAGGAGATTTATAATCTCTGTAGAAAACGAAAGAAAACAAAGAAAATATTCGCATGTATACGTACATTAAATCTATCTGATTCCCCATGCATGATATACATATTCAATATGCTATTGCAATAAAAAGTTATCATCACACAAAATATTCTTGTTACTTATGATAGAAATGTTATGTCGTATATCTCCAATTATTAACAAGTTTTCCATAAATCGGATTGTAAAAGCATATTCTGAAATGATATTCGATTTAAAATATAATTGACGACAAAAAACAAATGCATGGACATGGAACGACTTATGCATCCTTACTGTTTGCGATGCACGTGTGCATTAAAAGGTCCATATACACAATGCACACTTAGCATCAAATGCGGCCATGTAATTATCAGTCCATGATAACACTGAATACAACTCTGATATTTGATATCAGATAATAGCATATTCAGAATGAGTCAGTCACATTTAGTGCTAAATGT